AAAACATTCTAAATGTAATGGGAAAAATGATTTGACTTAAACTGAAATGACATTTTCTAGTTTAATACATAGAAAATTAATTTTTTCTCAGATACCTTCTATTCCCATCCATGCATTTATACTACTTGAAGAAGAGGAGGATTTGCTGCTCAGAAGAGTTGCAGCAACAGTTCTTCTTCCCAGAATCTGGAGCAGTTGGCACTGAGAACCCCTGTAAAATCTATGTAATGGCACAGCCCATGGCAGAATACTTCGGAGAAGCTATGCTGTCTCCAGTACCATACTCCTATGGTCCTCAAATTGAGACACTTGCCAGTTAACAATGAGGCAAAAGAGTTGTTGAGTAGCTCAAATTCCTCCTCATTTGTTGTTACCCGTTCAACACACTTGTTTGTTTTCTTTATTTGGCAGTGTTTTCTTTAACCTTTATTTTCTGGCTGACATTCCTGCTCTCTCTATTATTCTTTTCATCTTTTGCTAAGATCAGTTCCAGCTTCACCTTGGCCTTCCTGACCGGTCCTTACACAGCTGAGCAGCATTGCTATACTCTTCCCAGGACACCTGTTCCTGTTTTCACTGCCTTTCCATTTCCTTCTCGCCCCTTATTTTGACCACCAGATCTTGATTGAGCCATGCCATTCTCCTTTCCTCTTACACCAAAGGATTGGTGTAACTTCCTCAGAGATCTGCCACCTTGGTTCTGCTCCCTTGTCCCAGAGGGCAGTTTCTCAGGTGGCCCTATTGACTAAACCCTTGATTCCTCTCACCACGTTGCAGGGATGGCAATTTGCTCCTGACTTTCCAGCAGAGCAGTGGGATCCAGCTCCTCTGTTTTGCTGCCCGTGCTGTGTGCACTGGTGTAAAGGCACGTCAGCTGGGAGGTCAGCTGTGGCTCCTTCGTAAAGGAGAAATTAAGATAGAGACCTTTAATAACCTCTGCACACAATGAAAGGAAAGAGGTTCTTTTCCATTTCACTTTATCCCTCTTGATTTAGACAGCTGCTTTAAAAACAGGTGATTAGGTCCCTAAAGTGTTTATTTCTTTCCAGTGGTTATGAAGAAAGGCATCTGAAGCTGATCAGAAGAATAGCAATCCAGGTAAACATTTACCTGCACAGAGAAGAATAGAAATCAGGATCATAACTCTGGATAGAAAGTAAACTCAGTATTGCAAATGCAGCCAACAGTGAGTGTTCAGGTGGTCATAGGTCAGTGCAAAGCAAGTACTGGCCCAAATAAAGTGACAATTTAAAAGAGAACAAAACACAACCCCCCAAACATTAAGAATTGGAAGAAATTGCTAAATACAGGTATTTGACCACTGTTATTTTCTGTCTAGCAAAAGTAGGCACTGAAGATGCCATTAACTCATTTAAATCTCCTGGTGATTCATATTAGAGTTCCAGGAGGAAAAGCATAGATTCAGCAGTTTTTGACTGAGTCATAGACAGAACAGCCAATGGGACTCCCTGCAGTTCTACAAGTAAATCTTTCCATGACAATGAACATTATTTTGTAGTCGTCTAATAGTCTCTGTGGGTGTTTATAAGAAAAAGTGATGGTTAACTTTTAAATATGGAAATACCCACCAACAGGTGTACAAAAATCTTAGAAAGAATAGAAAATTAGTCTAAAAAGAAATATAACTGCATGACAACTATATTTGTAGCAGTTGGAGGACAGAACACAAGAAAGCTATTAAATAAATCCTATTTTATTATATGTGCCTGTATTTGCATGCCCAAGTACCTAATTATGTGAAAAATGCAACTGCTGTGTAAAGAAATGTTAATTTTCAAGCACACCTACTGAGCTTAGGGTTGTCATTCAGATACCTGTTCAATTGCTTGCTCTTGTACCCCACCTGCAGAAAATATCTGTGAGCTTGTCAGAAGGCTGGCACAGGTTATTAGTGAAGAAAACCAGGGCTTTGCAGGTTCAGCAGACAGTCCCATGATCTATCCAACACAGCTGACAAATTTCATTATGACTCCTAAGCAGAGCTCTGGCAGTGCAGCTTTGTTTTGTTTTGCTGAGGAGATGTGCAGGGAGAGCCCTTTCTCTCCTCAGACTGTAGAACCTTGGATTTCTTGGATTTCAGCTCCAGTTGATGAGTTCTCTGCTATGCTTACCTACATTTCTTTTTCTTTTCTCTACTTCTCTGACACATGCTGCATGCCATTAGAGAGCAAAAAATACTGCTTGTACTCCTATTCTTAGTGTTGGTCCATTTGCTTTTTTGATTATCATCCTGACTGTCAAAGGAACGAAACGACATTGCTTTGCAGCACTGCTCTCCACAGCTCTCAGTTTCACACTGTTCTTTGTTTCCTTGACAGGTAGAAACTGTTTCTGTTTTTCTTCATGAATGCTTTAAGTGTGATGCTGAACAGCTCACAGTGACAGCTAAAACATTGCAAGCTGCCCTAAAGGGCATTTCTCAAATGTGTTTCTTTGCCCTTTCTTCACAATGGACATGTTAATAAGGCTCAGGACTACCTATGTTTTTCTGTGGAGAATAGGATCTTTACAGCTTAAATATCTCTACACTCATGTAAATATTACCTAGGTGACAGAACTTTTGGATTTGTTCTGGGAAGTTTCTTTGATTTATTTTTTAGCTTTGGCTTTAGTATATTATTTGAAAAGCTTTTTTTTTTGAACCAAAAGTAACATCGTCTTACATATTCATCCATTTGACTGTAAATTGCAGACAACGAGGTTGAGGGAATGGAGGGCTAAGTGACTGGCCTGGCAAGGGACAAATGAACAGTGAGAGAGGGCACATAAAGGGACAGGAAAGAGATAAACACACAGGGAGCAACCATTTCTTTCCAAGAAGGTGAAGCCTAAGAGCTTTAAAGAGGGCTTTGTAGCTGTCCTGTTTTAGAGTCTACTTCCATGAAGTACTGGATGTTGGTGCTAATATAAACTTCACAGAGAAACAAACATTGACAGACTGTAGACAGTTCTGATGAAATAGTTAAGCTTTCATCAGGCACTAGGCAGCACAATGATTACAATGATTCTGCTGGTCGGTGGTGCACCAGTTCCTGGAGCAAATCCCTGGCTTTCTTATCCCCATCCAACAGAGTGTCTGTGCAAAACCATCAGGATGGCTGAGAGCCAGACACCCATCTTAAGCTCCCTGAGCAGATGATTTGTGGACAGCCCAGCTCTCCCTGTCTCCAGATCAGTGCTCAAAGGCATTTCTCTTGGGGTCCAAAAGGCTGAGAGCAAACAAAAAACTTCTGCTCTTAGTCTCCCAGCACTTAGTTTTCTCTCACAGATGTTATCTGACTTTTTAAACAATCCCATACTTGAAGGACAGTTGATGTGACAGTGGTGAGAGATGCTCACTACAGCTTTCCAGCACTCGTCACAGACAGAAATTACAGACCTTGTATGGCCTGTTTCCACCAAGTGTTTTTCCATGCCTCTCTATATTATGTCTTTGCCACTAACTGGATTATTTCATCTTACCTGGACAAAAAGAACCTGTCATCTCTTTATATGGAGGTTTTCACCCATTTGCTTTATCATAATCTATTGGCAAAAGCTAACCCTCTCTCCAGAAAGCACTTCTCTCATGCATTTATAATTTTCTTGACCTCTACAGTTTGAGGACTCTTTGCCTCCAGCCCTGTTTTCTCAGAAGCAGGTGCATGTGGGCCATGTACAGCTCTGTGCTGTGGCTAGATTGCTCACCATACCTGAGCTGCAGAAAGCAGTATTTGCTTTTACCATCCTTGGTCAGCCTTCAATTTATCATACGATGCATATTGACCTTCTGGCCCCTAAAATAGTGAAACAGCAGCATGAGATGGTGGCAGTGATTTGGATGTTGATCTTTAGGTGCTGGTGGACAGTCAAGTAGGCATAGATGCCGAAAGACGAGCAGCAGTTTAAAAATGACTGAGACATCAGAACCTTTCTTCAAATGTACTTTCCGCATTTGAAATTTTGATAATTTAGCATTGCATGGTGTTGATACAGTAGTTCTAAACTACACAGATGAGTGTAGCCACCTCTGGACCAAGGGGAGAATGAATGCAGTAGTTTAATTTCAGCCCTGGTCCTCAAAGTTTCCAGTTTGGGCATCTGGCTGAATACACCAGAGCTCCTTCCCTGCTTGCAAACATTTTTTCCCTGAACATTGGAGAACTGGGGAAGGGGGAAGGCATTCCTGCCATGTAGTATGGAAGCATGGATCTGAACTGGGAAGTTGTAAGGTTAGGTGTGACTTGCTGGCTCCTAGAGAGCCCAGTGAACTCAGAGACAACTGTTTCTGCAGAGGATGCTGTTGACACTTTCTAGTTTACATCTTCTCCTTTCATTTTCCTTCTGTTATCAATAGTGCAAAATCAGGCAATAAAAAATATAATAAAGGCAAAGAATTTTTCTCTCTCCAGCAGCAATTACCTGATTTATAGATGTGTGAGGTGATTAAAAAATTGTGAAAATAACTATAAAAGAGTTTCTTGATCAAATATTTCAGACAGTGGTTCTCTCATTTGAGGAAATAATACAGCCTTTAAAAGATACAAAACCAACAGATAAGCCCCCACACATCTGCGCATACATGTCCAAGTAGAGAACTATAAAATATATTACACATAGGAGCTCAGTTATTCCAGTATGTGCCTGTGGATTACATTTCAACAGGATGAATTAAATAGGAACATGTTGACCTCATTAAATGGATTCCAGTTTTGTGTCTGTATTTGTATACAACAGAACATTTTTGTATTCATCAGAAACCAAAAAAGCTGTCATTCATACATAGGCATCTATCAAATAAATAGCAGAGGGCAAATTATGCTCTCTTGTTAAGCAAAAATAACATTTTCAATCTCTTCTCACTATTATAGTATTTTAGGTATACTTTTATTCTCCATTAACATACCAACTTCACAATGAAAAGTGAATAAATTGAGTAAGAGGAACTGCATCTGGTGTGTACATCTCTAATCCCTTCTGTTTATATTCTTTTCACACAGAGATTGAAAGATTTAAAACAAAGAGAATTTGCTCGAAATGTGGCTTCAAAGTCATGGAAAGATGAGAAGAAACAGGAAAAAGCACTCAAGAGACTCCACCAGCTTGCAGAGTTACGGAAGCAGTCAGAATGGCAAGTTTTTAAAAATCATACGGGGTTTTAATGCCCTCTTTCCTCCCTTCCAGAAGAAAGTATAATATTTTTACTCCTACACAAGTAGTGTACAGAGATTGTGTGTATTGTGACCTGTTTTCAGCTGTCTTCAACTCCAAATGATCCTCTTCTGCAAACCATACATTGAAATCCTCTGCCTTAATTACCTGCTGTTTGAAAGTTTGTCATTTTCTCTCATGTAGATAGTTATTCTCACGCCTTCTAAATGGAGTGCTTTGAAGATGCTTTTATCATATCACCATTTTACCTTATCCAAACTGATGTGAAGAGATTAGTATGACTGTCTTAACATTTGATTGTAAGTTAATGGGAGACGATAAACCCTTTGTGAATAATTTTTACTACTTTTAAGGTACTGGGAGTATTCTTCAGTTTCTCTGTAGGATACTTTGAATGAAAAACAAATTATTAACTGAATTAAGTTGGTCTAATACTGTTAGCTCTATTGATTAATATCAAGATAGAGGACAAAGATCGCAGTAGTAAACCTTTAAATTTGGAAATCTTTGTTTAATGACAAGAAATGCCTCAGTAGAATAGACTGACATCAGACCAATTGTTTATATTAATCTACGACCACAATGAGTTAATCAGATAAATAAACTGGCATTGTTTTAAATTCATCTGAAGACTAATGTACCCTGGAAATAACAGCATTCAGAGTTTATTACAAACTCATTTTGGCCTATGTAATTGCTTTTGAGCAATCTGCTGAAATATAACAGTTTAGCGTTAATATATCCCTTTTATGATTACGACTCTATTTTCATACAAATCTGCTGAAACAAATGTAACTGCCTGTGGGAAGATTCCTTCATGCCCACACACTTGAAGATGTAGCCTCGGATAGAGCAATAATATCAGTGATAACAGCAAAGCCAGAAGGAATCGGGGAGGGAAAGAGCAGGTTTGCTTTTAGGAAGAGCCGGGAGTCCATAATATTTTGCACAGAGTGTGGAAGGGAAGAGCTTGCTATTCCTCCCTGTGATCACTAATAGGCTCAGGGGAGGCTGAGTGCCGGGATTTTGGCAGAGGGGCGGCACTCCCAATTGCTCAGGAAAGACAGAATGTCAGCCTTTGTGAGCAGAAGTCCGCACATGCAATTGTTACCATCCCTAGGTACTGTCTCTCAGGCTCCAAAACAGTTCCTTACAATGAGCTAATTCAATTTGACAACAAAATTATTGTCAATCTTGGGCACAGAAAAATTTTATTTTTTTATTCCAAGAAGACTTTGAAAAGGATTTGTTTATGTTTCTTTATGCCTTCTCCAAGAGAAAATTATTCCTCATGTAAATAGGGGTTAATTTGTATCTCCTGATGCTGAATTTCTGGCATTTCTGGCAAAGGCAAATATATTCTCTGAAATGCACACATATTCTCACATTATGAGTTGACCCTGCTCCAGGGAATCTTTCTATCTTTCCCATTGTTGAAGATCAATTTTTATAGCATTTTTATAGCATTTTTGTATTTTTATAGCATTTATAAAGCATGACTGCAATTATAGATAGCATATAGGCAGATCTGACAGTTTTAATTTATTTACATTTAATAAAAATATTTTATATTTTTTTATCAAACTCTTAATTTAATCTGGCTCTAATTTTTTTCTTCTTAGTGTACTGAGGTACCACACTGATAGCAAATGTAGATAATTAGTCTAATGAAATGTGTATTTACAATATATCTTAGAAAAACACTTATGGTTGCCATATATATCATATCTTTCATGGAAAATGGCTACAGTCATTTCAGTATCAGTTAATTATCTGCTTCAAGAAATCAGTGGTTTGTCTTTTTTTTAAGGCCCTAGAATAGGTAACTTTTTTCTTTAATTACAAGAAAATTAAATAATACTTAAAATCTGAGATATTTTGAAAATAGGAATAATGTAATTAATGGAAGTAAGACACAGAAAATGTATCAAAGTAAGTCAAATCATGGTTGATTTGAGAGACCAGGGAAGCTGTGATTTTCTTCACCCCAAAGGGTGACAGTTTTAGTATTAATTTCTCTGAATATTTTGCAGTCATTTATTGTGGAATAAAATAAGGATCTATTCTTTAAAAAGTTAAACACATTCTTCCCATAGCAAGCAGAATGTTTCTCTTTCTCTTCTAGAGTTTGATTTTGCAGATGCTCCAAGTGGAAGCGTCTCTTTTTGAATATAGCACAATTTCCTTTACAGAGGCCTTTCAGAAAAGCAAGACTTACCACAGATTAGGTTCTCCTAAATATAAATTTGGAGTAAAACCAATATTTGTTCTGCTTGTACATTGGCATAACTGAAAAAGAAAATTCATGTGCTGACATTAAGCATTTAATTGTCTCTATGGAGAGACTGTCTTGCCCATACAAAATTCCAAACTGATGATAAACTGCACGTTTGCTGAAACTTAGCTTTACCTTGTAAAAAATTGAGTGACACCCTCCTTCACCAGACAGACACTGTAAAATGCAAGCTCTGTCATAACTTGGTTACTCAATGCAGCTTTCTTTTTTCCTTTATTTTTACCTTAAAGCATCACTGGGAGCGGACCATTGCTTAAAGCCCCCCGATTAGTCCTGGAAAAGCAGCAATCACCAGATGGCATTTTCCTGTACAAGGGCAGCAAGTTTGCAGCAAGTTCTCAAAGAACCACCACAAGCGAAGGACAAGGCTTCTCCAAAAGCATACTAGGGAAACAGCAACTTATAATAAGCAGGCACCACCCCCCAGCTGAAAGACACCATGCACTTGGAAACCGCATTTCACAAAAGTTCCCATGCAGCAACAATACCTCTCAAAGGGCAGGAGTGTCCTTTTCATTCTCTAAAAAGGTCCCTTTGAAGCTTGAGTCCTCTGCATCAGTCTTCAGTGAGAATTGTGAAGAAGGAAATGATTATAGTGAGTCCCCCAATCATAAAAAAAAGCAAACTATTGAGGGCTGTCATTCTGTCACTCTTTTGGAGGAACAACTGAAAGCAAGTTTGGATAAAGAGTCACCTATTGCACAAGACCAAACGGATTTAGATAAGAGTGCATCAAGTCATGTAGCTACAAAACCTAAAATGCTAAAGGAAAATGATAAAAGTAGTGATAGGGAATCAGAAGAAAAATTCAGAGCTAATCCTTCATTTTCTAAAGTCAAAATACCACTTCCAAATTTGAATTTTTCTGCTTCACTGAGAGAAACAGAGCAAGAGAGCAAACTGAATGAATCTGAGCAATTCTTAGAAACTCCCATTTCATCTTCATGCCAAGCTAGCAATTTTTCTACACAGTTGAACACCTACAAGCACAGTGATGCCCACCTGCCTGCCCAGTTATCTGAGCTCCCTAGACAGCCAGAACCTGAGCTGACCTGTTCAAGCAACATTAATGACAGTCCTGGAGTGATAAAAAGAGAAAGATCTTTGGAGATCACAGAAACCACAGATAGAAATATGGAAACACTGGAAAAGGAGACCATGGTTAAAGAAGTTAAGCCCCAGGCATTGCCTTTCCTCCATGTGGTGAGCAAAGATGGCACCACTGCTCTGCAGTGGCCCACAGAATTACTTTTGTTTACAAAAACTGAGCCCTGTATTTCATATGGCTGTAATCCATTGTATTTTGACTTCAGACTCTCTTTAAATCACAGGGAGGGTAAACAGCATGAAACAAACAAAGCAAGCTGTAAAAATCTCTCTAAAAATAAGACTGCAGATGAATATGAACCCTCAGGTTTAATAAAACACAAGCAAATGTCAAATGAACAAGATAATCAGTTGTTGAAACCAAAGAAGATGAAAGGTTCCCTAAATCCAAGAAAGGCCAAGCAAAAAGCTGAGTCAGACATAGGGAAAGAAATGAATGAAAATGGTCAAAAATATATTGCAGATTATTTGAATGAAAATATACCCAAAGTGCCTGCTTACCTTGATGTCTCACATGAGGATTATGTGACAGAAAAAAGTCTTTATACAACATCACTGAGGAGACCTTTAAAGCATCATTTCCATGGCTGTGAAAGAAAAACTCAGAACATTAGAAACGAAAGCATTTCCTTTTCTGCTTTTATGTCTAGGATTAAAAACTCTAACTCTGAAAAATGCCATTTAATTGATCCTGAAGAAAAATATAAGAACCAAAATGACTGCAGATCTCTTCAAGATGTGGTCAGCTGCAGCAGTGACATAAGTGACAGTGGAAAAGACTCTAGTGAAAGTTTCTTTAGTTGTAAATCCAGTTCAAACAGCAAGTATTTAGATAATGAAGGATGTGGAAGTTATACAAGATGCTGGAGACTCTCATCTCCTCAAAAGTCCTCGTATGGCAGACATTCCAGCTATTCTGACACTTCAGTTAGCAGCACGAGTAGCTACATGAGTCCCACATCAAACAATCACAGAAGAAATAATTTGCTTTGTTGTTGTAAAAGAAAAAACAAGACAGATAAAAGGCACAAACACAGAAAGCACAAGTGTATTTTCACTTCAGATGATACAGATGAGGATTATCTTTGTCACAGTAGAAGTCACAGAACTAGAAACTGTATTCAGAGTGGCACAATTAAATATCGAAGATGTTCAAGACATAAACTTTTACAAATCAGAGACAGGTCTAAACACAGCAGATGTAGACATCAGCATTTTGGCAAAGTGCTTAGTAGGAGTAGAAGCTACCACAAATCCAAAAGTGGTTCCACTAGTGATTCAAGAAGCAGTGAAAGATCATCTAGCAGCAGAATATCAAGATGCAGCAGTTCAGGATCTGTCTCAAAAGAGACTGACAACTGTGACAACAAAACAAAAGAGGATTCTGAGAGAGCTTCTATCACTGAACCAGGAAAAGCTGAAACTGCACATTCCAGCTCTCTGAATGTTAATAGTCAGTCCAAAAACTTTGCCACCTGCTCTTCCAAAAACCCGGCAAAAGACATATGTGGAAAAAGAAAGTCAATGACAGCCAAGTTACTTTTAGAAAGAGTGCAGTCTAAGAAAACCCAGGAACAAATGCATGATCCAGAGAGATTTTCAATCACTAGTGGGATAGAATTAAAGGATCACTTACAAAGTCACTTTGCTTTTCAGTTTTCATCATCAGTAGATGACATTGCAATGTTACCTTTGCCAGAGAAAGTGCTAAGCAAAGGTAAAAATGACATGAGACATAATGAAATCAGTTCACTGGAAAACAGTGTGAAGAAAAACAACACTGAAGCATCAGAGATAACAAATGTTACTCTTTCACCTGGAACTGATTATGACCATTGTGTTCTTAAAGACATAATTCAAATTGAAACAGGCTATCAGAGCCCAAGCATAAAAAGGAACACAGCAATAAAGGAACAAACCAGTCTCTTCTTTAGTGAAGTGCAGCCCTTTATACAAAGCTGTGATCCAGTACCAAATGATTTCCCTGGTGCTTTTCCCTCTAATAGATATTCTGTTGCTGATTCAACAGAGACCAAAGAAGAACTACATGATGTAAACATGGACTTGAACCGGGCAGAAGGCAGTTCAGACTCTTTTTGTGACAATGCTATGCAGAAGTATGGTGATACACTACATGACCTAGAAGTGTACAGCAAATCCACCTCCCCTCCTTTAACACAGCAGCCCATCACATTTACACCAGAAGAAGTAGACAAATACAGGTTGCTGCAGCTGCAAGCCCAGCAGCACATGCAGAAACAACTTCTGGCAAAACACCTGAAAGTTTTGCCTGCCCCAGGACCAGCTGCCTTCTCTGCAACACCAGCAGTTCCTGCCCTGCCTGCTCAGCAGCAGGCCACTGTCACCACCATCCAGCACACGCTGCTGCAGCGCTTTGCTGTCTCGGCATCTGTGCACCCCCACGGCGGCCATCTCTCCCTGGCGCCCCTCCACCCCCTTTCTCAGGCACATTTTGCCCCCATATCACTGTCCCCTTTAGCACCAGCCCTTATTCCCACCCACCCTGCTTTGCTGACAGGACACCCACTGCACTTGGTGTCTGCCACTCCCCTCTACCCTTCCCCACTGACCTTCCCGGCGCTGCCTCACGCTGCATACATCCCAGCCTTATTTACACCACACCTGAACACAGCCACTCCTTCTGCTGTACACCCAAATCACTTAGTTCATCCCTTATTCCAGGGACAAGAGCCCCTTCACTATTCTTGTTCTATCCAGACCCAACAGTTACCTACAGCAAAAGAAGTTTTCAGTGTTTCTAGCCACTTAAACTAGCCCAAATGATTTCATCATGGCTCCAACCCCAAATTAAAATAAAATAAAGCACTCAGCATTCAATCACCTCTGAGGGGAAATCTACTGTTTTGCTGAGAGCACAACAACAAAGATTTTAAAGTCCACAATCTGGCTGACAGCATATGAATGTTGATTTTATTCTTGTATCACTGAGGAAAAGCTGCTTTAAAGCCTTTCATGGTACTATCACAAGAAGGATGGGTGACCAGTGTCATTCTACGGGATGCTTTAAAAGAATAGCTTGAAGTGAAGTCTATAGGAAAGGGAAGTCAGTAGGAAAGGGACCACAGCACCCAGACAAAATGGGATCAATATCAACACTGATGAGGGATCTAAAGTAGCACAATTTAAGGCTGAGCAATCTTGGCACACCTCAAAGATTTGATTTTCTGAGTTTGCATATGAAACAGTGCCTGGTTTGGTTAAGGTATTTTGAACTGAGTTAAAAATAATGTATCTGGGACCAGCAGACCCTGGGGCTGTCTCCTGGCCAAAGTAAACAGGGGAGGCTCAGAGGGAGGGCTGATGAGTGAGCACTCGAAGGTGAGGATCACAACACCACCTTGAAGACACTTTAGTGATTTCATCCCTGCACACGTGGCTTGGACAGTCTAAAGGCACTGCAGTCAGGTCATGGGTACATAACAAAGCATTCCCTTAGCGTTGGGAGCTCTGTGCTGGCAGAACAGGCTGCCTCTTTTCTCTCCAAGCCTAGCATCCAAGAAGGCTCACTGAGAAGCCAAGTTTTTGGCACTGCCTGGGCATGACTGTGTCACAGGGCATGTCAGGGTGAGCCACACCAGCCCAGAATTGCCAAGCAGCCAGTGCTGGCTTTGAACCTCAGAGGTACTTGGCCAAAAGTCCCCACCAAACAGAGCTCTGATGTGTGGAAGAGTCTTTCCCAAAGAATGTGTCAATATTTTTCATCCCTTTCACAAACAACAGAAACAATTGGCTGGTCCTATAAAATCATGCAGATATTCATAATGATGTAGAAGTAAAATTCTGATAAAAAACTGGCTCTACAGGTTGAGACTCGGAGAAAAACTTGTTTGAGCACTCAGCATTTAAAAGTTTATTGAATCTAAACAAATATGTCAAGATTCTCGCATGGCTTCCCAAACTCTCTACAAGTAAAATGAAATTACAAATCAACAGGGTTTGAATGCATGTATCCAACCTTCAGAGTAACGTGTGGCTGAAATTGTTGTAATAACTGTGTATCTGAAAATAGGTGAAGGCTACAGCATCTCTTTGAATGCCATAGTTTGACACTTTTTATAATGTTTCTAACTGAACACAGGATATTTAGCATGAAATTAGTTTATAATTATGGTTAGACTGCAAGCATGCTTCCCCAATAAAATTGGACCATGAAAATCCAACACACAGTACCTGTTTGTTGGGATTAAAAACATTTGAAATAATTTCAATTCATTTGCAATAAGTGCACAAATAAGTATCTTTCAGAATCAATATAAAACACATTGAAAAACTTTTGGGAGAATTTTAATCCATTATATTCAGCTACCTGAAGAAGCTGAAAACTCTAATTGCAAATAAGTTGTGTCTTTAAAATATAACAGAACCAATTTTCTTAGTTTTAATCAAAATGCATTGATCCATTACAAAAAAAAAAGAAATTATTTTAATTTCTGTCTTTCTGGATCTTCTTCAGCATAAACTGGTAATATGCCAAACTTTTTGAGTTACTTTACAAGTTGTGACTCCTATTTTTGTATTTCCAAGTAGCTTTAAATATTTGGTGGTTTAGCTATTGAAAAAAAAAAAAAAAAACAGAAAAAAATATTATGGAGGCTATGCAGAAGCAAAATATTTTAGTGCTGAAAAAGGTTGGTGGCACCAGCACCCTCCAGCATATTTTGGTTTGATTCCCACCTTATTTTTTAGTCTCATTAACAAAATGGATTCATGCCTTTTTGGTGTTACTTATCTGTATGTAAGTAGCATATAAATTATATTTATTTTTCTCATTTAAATTGTAGAGTAATTCTTTAATTGAAATTATTGCCTCAGAATTAAGGAAGTCAAAGATTTTATTTGGGAAGAATGTAGAACTAAATGCTTCCAGAGTTTAATAATTCTTCCTTTCAATTGTGGCTGGAAAATTTCCCAAAATAAGGCCTGAATTTACAAATGTTTTCTGTACTTCCAATACTTTATTTTCTGAGAATCAAACATATTTCACTTACTCTGACTCAACACCTCTGAAAATTTTTACTTGCTTGGATGGAGATCGCTCACGCAGTGGACCACTTGGACACATTAGTCATAATTCTGTAGAAACATTCTGAATTGGACATCTAAAGTAGCAGGTGAAGCAGTGCCCCAGGAGGGGCTGACTGGGCTGTGTGACCATCACCTGCAGTCCAGGGATAATTCCAGCATAAAAGGTGGGGCAATTCCAGCCCCACAAGTTTTAAATTTGTGGGCCCAGCTTCATCTCTGTTGAAGTAAACCCAGCTGTTCTCATTGCGTATAAGAATTCATTTGTACCTTAGGCAGATAACATCAAAAGAAAAATATGGAACTGAAGGAATGATGGGCTAATCTCATCTTTAATGTGTGTACACATATTTTGTATTCCCACTTCTACCAGAAAATGTTAATACTATAGAAATTTCTGTGGCAAGAAACCTGACCAAATCAAACTTAACCATATCCTACTACATAGATCATTTATGGAAAATAGATTTATTTGTTTCCCTCAATGTATGCACCATACAACGGGACTCTAGAATAAATGAAATCCTAAGATTCCCATGCATCATTGTACATACCAACATGGTAGGGCAAATAAATTGACAAGGAAGAATAATTTTAATTCTTGGAACAATGGGAATTAGAATTTTGAGATGCATTAATGGGGAGAAAAAGAGAGATTAGGAACAGAAAGAGCACAACAGAAAACCAGTAATCACTGATTACCAAACACAGGCAATGTCCAATATGGTTCTTAGTGCACAGAAGGGATTTTCTTGGAGAAATATAATAAAGCTATTGGCACAGCTGAAATTATATATTTCCTCTAATTGCTGTCATATTTTTTTCATCAGTAATGTACTTTAAATATGCATCATTATAATTATTAAAAGCATTATTGAGCCTGATGTAGGGAGCCATGCTACAATTTTGATTTTATTTAAAGACATTTTTAAAAGAGTTATAGTGTCTTTATGACAGTGATATATACACACCAAGTTAATAATCTATTTTAGCTTGAGTGTATATTCTTGATACATAATCTAAGGAAAGAGGTCACCCACACCTTAAAATTCAAATTAAAAAAATTTCCTAAGTGACACCATGATAAAGTTTTTTGTTGTTGTTTGGGATTTTTTTTAATCTGATGCATTTCTGGAATACATTCAACATGTATATTTGTTGTGCGGATTTGCATAAAAATGCCATTTGATCAGATTGATTTTAAAAGTGTCAAGTTTATATTTAAAACTGGATAATACTCTGGCTAGTATAATATGTAAACTAGTAATTTTGTTTTGTATTCTCTGTATAAAGTGTTTTATATTATACAGTAGCTAAGTGAATTGCACTATTGTACATGCAATGGAACTTTTGTTTTAGCTTATTCAAGGAATCCCTGGGAATGTAGTTTAATGCAATAATATTTTTTTTCAATAAAAAGGCTTACTGGTATAAAGAGTGTCAGTCATGTATTTTTAATGTAAAGCATACCAAAAGGCAGCAACCTAATAAAATGCAGAATTATGCAAATATATTCTGTATTTTAATTTCCAGAACTGAAATACATTTAATTCATTACTGTGGTTATAATCCTGAAATTTCATAGAATGTTTCCTAAAGACTTTAGTATGTGTTACAAAAGTGGGTTGTTTAAATGGAACTGAAAATAAATATTCCTTACAAAAATTATTCTATCTATGTGTTTTTTCCAAGGATTTTTAATGAATAAATATCCTCCTGAGTATTTTTATGCACTGATTACTTTATTCATAATTAGACATACAACTCATCTGTCAGGTTCCCCAAATAATTGTATAGCAGGTCTTTTGGTAGAGAATCTAACAGTAGGATCTACAAATGTGTCATTTATTCACTCTTCAATCATTCTTTAAATAAGTATCACTTTATCCCACGTTTTCCCTATTACCCTGAGTTTTTCCAGGTTGTTTATTGCATCCTTTTCCATCTACCTTTCATTTAACTTATTTTCTGACACAAGGCTTTTGGTTATGCAGGTACTCAGCTTCAGTGCTCCCAGAACTGCTGTTCTATTTGCAAGGCTACTTGTACCCCTCAGTGGATAGTTTCATAAGTGTCCCATCTCCAGGTGAGCACAAAGACTGAAGGAAGGTAAAAACCAGTGTCTGCATGTCTGTAGTAGATGAAACTCTATTTTTTGAGGTGAGATGTGATAGAGGTTATATTCTGTCCAGCCTATCTGCATAGCTGGAAATACCTTGGCCAATCTCTGGGACCAAACTAATCTACCTTGCAGTGACATTTCATGACTCGGGCATTCTATAAAGTCTTGAAACCAATGCAAACCCACGATGACAAAATTTACACTGTGTATCTAATTCCATTCAATTGTGGTTGTCCTTCTAGTCATTTTATAACAAAAACAAAATTCATAATTAGACATATAAAGAGTGTATGTGTCTGAAGGAAATCCCCTGCAAATTAATATCTATGACATTAATGTTAGCTCAAATAGGCTTCCAGTTGAGATCAGATTCCACCTGTTTGTTGCTGAGCAAATCTTTGTATAAGCCGGGCAAAAAACAAAAACAGAATCAAAAACATAAACAAAACCAAATCCCCCACCTTGTTTTGACTGAGATATAATATGTGAATAAATGAAGCTGTCCACACCTTACTATTCCTGATAAAGTTAACTGTAAAGCCAGCAAAATCCTTCCTACACTCTGGTGGGAAGTGTATTATCTTATTATGCAAACTAAGTATCTTAATATGTATTTTATACAGAAATATAAAGAATCACCATGAATGCAGCTCATTACCTTTATCTTTCTAGACAGCAGGCACAATGTGTGCGGGAATAACAGGAATCTGCAAGTCAGGGAACTGCACTGCTGCCATGCTGAGTTTGGGGCACACTGTTGTGATGTGCTTGAATGTTTCTCTGCCCCAGGGCTAAGGGGAATTAACTCATTAATATTTCAGGTTATGAAAATACTCTCATTCAGGACCACCAGGATGAGCTGTAAGTCCACACATTGCTTGTCTATAGAGCATGTGGTAATGTTAACATTCTTTTTATTATTCTTCAATGAACACATTATTTTCTTTAACAGAAAACACAGATGATGCCAAACTTCCAATTACAGAAATTATAGACAGAAATAAATCTACAGTTACATTAATGGGCATTTACTTTACACATGTACAGCTTAACAGAGACCAATCTGTTTTGTGAATGTGTTTAAAAGCACTCTTGGCTGAGATGTCAAGCGCTAGATACACAACTGTCTTAAAAGAAGATGCAGCCCAAACTAATTTTTTATGACCTAGCTATGAAACCCTCAAAATAAAGATAAGATTGAAAAGCGTGTTAGACTTCCATCAAAGGTATAAGCAGTTCTGCTGCCTCTACTTAAGTGCCCATCTGAAACTTATATTACACAAAAAAATCAATATTTCATTCTTATGAACCAATAAAATTTTTAGACCAAATAAATTTGTCATTTGCAAATCAATAAATTAAATGTATTTATCAATTTTATATATAAAACTGTTTTGTGTACTTCAAGCTTTGTATGAGTAAAATCAGCACCCTTAATAAATAAGTCATCGAGAATGGAATGAGATAATTAGTTTCAGACAGCCATAAAACAATCATTTCTATGTAAAGCAATATGTTCTATACAAAAATGGTTGAATTATAATTCACTTTCATCTTTTTTGCAAGTCACTTATGGGCTGTTTTCTGCCAGTCCCAGTGGACAACCCTACCAAATTTATTAGAAATAGTTATGTGTGTGTGTCTTGGGGACGTGGGTGCGTCATCTGAAGGTTGTATGGTTGCCTCTAATACAAACTTGTAGCCCTGACAGCTGAGAGGTGGAGCTGTGCAAACCTCAGGAACCTCAGCAAAGCCAGGTGAAGGTCTTGCACCTTGGCTGAGGTAATTCCAAGCACAAGGACAGGACAGGCTGGGTGGAGAATGGATCTAGAGCACCTGTGGGGAGGAGGACTCAGGGGTGCTGGTGGGTGAGAGGCTGGGCATGAGCCAGCAGTCAGTGTGCACTGCAGCCCAGGAGGCCAAACGTGTCCTGGGCTGCATCCAGAGCAGTGTGGGCAGCAGGGCAGGGGAGGGACACTGCCCCTCTGCTCGGCTCTGCTCTGCTCTGGTGAGAGAGACACCTCCTGGAACATGGAACACCCAGCTCTGCGGCTCTCAGCAGAAGAACATGGATCTGTTCCAAAAGGCATAGAAATTTGCAATAAATCAAAGATGGTACAAGCAGGCAATATCATTAATCAATTGCCACATATTTTCACAGGTGAAATACAGCAGTGTTCTTGAAACAGGAGGGTTTTTTCTTTTGTCCCTCATGCTGAGAAAGTATAAGTTGCTGAGTAAATGCTTGTCTTTCAGCTGTACACAGATAAAATGTTATGAATTGGAAATCCTATCTGCATCAGGGAAAGTCAAAACACTAGAAATGCTTGCTTCCTGCTTGCACCAGGATTTCTCTGACAGTATTCTTGAGAGTGCACTCGATTTCTAGTGAGTTGGCTTTCTCCAGAGAGGTGGAGCAGATACTACAGGTTTGAAGGTAGAAATGCAGAGTCTGTACTGCTTAGATGTTTTCCCTGTTAATTCGGGTTCCGAATAAAGGCTTGTAGATCCAGGGGTAGGTAACCACATTTGATCCAAGGATAAATAACCAAGTTAACACTACATCTTTAGTTGCCAGTTGTCCACTGAGACAAGTTCCCATTTCTCCTAGGACTGGATTCTTCCTGTCTTACTTATCCTTTGCATGTAACCAATGCCTGAAGTACCTAGGAGAGTTTTCAGGACTGTTTCTCTCACTCTCTCTCCCTGAGACACTTGAGAAACTGGCTGTAGAAAAAACCACTGACAATAATATGAGGTGATCCTTTTTAGTTTACTAGTAATTTCTTCAAAGATCTCTGTGACTCAAAGCACTTAATGTTTTTATTAATATAATCTGTAATTACATTACTGATATCTACTGCTGACAGAAGTTTAATCCCTAGCAGTGAGTTTTCCCACCATGAGTCCCCCTCTATTAGCTCTGCTCTGTAACCACATATTTTCAAATGCTACATTCCCTGATTTTATTTTTCTTAAATGATGTGTTAGATAAACACTTGCTATATGATTTTTATTGGAAATTAAATGGGTCAGGGTGACATTTAATAATGACTCTTATTATGGATTATGATCAGAGCTTATGAGTTCAAAACAACTTTGTCTTTCATTTCAGTGCTTCCAGCCTTCACTAACTGCTCACAGGAGAGATCCTGAGATGCTCAGGGCCACTGAGGGTGCTGAAATGGGACAAGAGAGGGAAGGAAATGAGCACAAGGGCTGCCTGCAAATAATAAAGACAAAAGAGTGCAGTCTGAAGAGCAATGTCAGACTTGTGACACCTGAAGAAAAGGCTATGTTAATTCCCAAGGGTGCAGAGAACCCCAGTGAAAGGTCAGACTCATGACAGATAAAGTTGAAGAGATTTGCAAGCACAGACAAAACTTCAGAGAAGCAGCTGTAATTACTGAAGTCAATAAAATTAAGACAACCATTTCCAGTAGCTTTTTTTACTCATAGTAGGCTGTAACTTTTGCAAAAAAAATTTCTCCAGTCAAGTCTTAGGACAAGCAGCATTGGATAAAGGCGAAAAATGATGAATAACTATAAGCATTCCATAGTGTACACTAAGATGTGTTTAGCTACTAGTGATTCTTCAGTTCTTTTTTCAGAGATCACTCGGCATTTGGAAGCAGAGAAAGATAGAGACTTTTGCTAACTATTTTCAAAGTGCCACAGAGAGATTTAGCCACATAATTCCCATTATAGGCAATACATTTGAAAGACTTTGTGACCTTTAGGTTAGAATACATGGGTTAGTGTGGAACCTCATTTTTTCCTAAAAGTTTTTCAGGAAATTTGCTTTAGAAATTCACAGTAGATGCAGGTATGACCAGCAGGATTAGACAGATTCAAACTGAAAAACTTCCTTGGTGGCTTGGAAAACAGAAAGCACTGCAAGAAAATTATAGCACAGTCCTATCTGTCAACTCTTGTTTGAAAAGTTTTAACTTTCTCTCAGAATTTCTTTGGTCTTCAAAAATCCAGGAATGAACTCACCATGTAGCATTCCTGCTGAACAGTTTTCAGGTCTAAGCATAGAAGTACTCAGTACTTATGGAGAAAGTTAACAAACACTGACTCAGCCTTACAAGCTCTGATTACAGGACAACCGAGCCACTGCGCAAGCACTGAAATGCATAGTGGCCTGCAAACTGCCCCAGTATCTGTGTCTGGTTCCTTCCATATCATAACCCAGTGCTCAGAGTTTTCCAGATCAGAAGCCAAAGCCACTCTTGCCTCCTGCAGATGTGATAGAGTAGTGGGAGTACCTCAGTACTCCCCTGGCACTCCGTGTCAAGCAATCAAAGCTCTCTGCATTGAGGAAATTACACAAAATCGACTCATTACATTTAGCACACAAGAATCTGCCCATCTAAATAGGACTGTGTAAAATTTAGCTGTCTACTCCTTCCTGTATTCCCCAAAAAGTGAAGAGCCCTTAACATGGGCTGATCCCACTTCCCTCAGGATCTCTAGAATCACCCTTGGTAGGTGATTATCTCTCCCCTCTGAGCTTAAGAGGTGGCTGCATGGCAACTTGAGCTACATTTTGGAGTCCAAAATAGGTAATTGCTTTTTTTTTTGGACATCTGGAAATTTTTTAAACTGAAAACTGGAATTGTTAAAGATAAGAGAGTTCATCATGATGGAGGTACTACTCCTACCTAGAGTCAAACAGGATAGCATGATGGAAATCACATAAAGCCTTTATTTTCAGCTATTTATAAAGAGATTGTCTAGAATTATTCACCAAAATATTTTGTGAAAAACATAAGAAAATAATTATGTTTTTAGGCAACTTATAACCAACTTGAAATTAAGAAGCTTATATTAAAATAGGTTATTTGCTTCATATTGTTTGTTCAGGTGAAATGACAATTAAATTCATATATATTTTTACACAGTACCATATTCATTTCTTGCTTTTAATTTTTTAATTTATGCATTTTTCTTCTTTCTTCACATGCAGATAGAGATACTTGATTCATCATCAGATTGGTCGGCTTTCAGTGCTATTAATTGGTACTAAAAATTCAGTCATTAGTATTTTGTATGCCACAAATATTCTCTACAGTATGCTTTTTTCATCACCTTTATCTGCTAGAAATGAATGAGAGATGCAGCTTTGGAACACTTTGAAAGGTTTTCTCAAAGAAATGTGTGGGACTATCCTTGATGTGAGTCCAAAAACCCATAGTAACGAATGTAGCTAAAATGATAACCACAGAAAGAAAATGACAGGCCAAAAAAGGGAGTCTTCAAAGACTTTTCTTTTGAAAACATGTAATTACTACAGTAAATAATATTCAGATCACGGTCTTGTACTCTCTGACAAACCATTAAAGCATCTTCTACAAATCCTGGGCACAGGACATGCCAGAGCATGATAGTCATAAACAGACATAAGAGGATGATGTATCATGGTCTTCTTCCAGGAATCTTTATTACACAAATCTGGGGCCCAAGCAACACTGCAAAGGATGTTTCTCACCCGTATTGGTCAGCTTTGTACTCTTCCTGATGTAGTTCAGACCACAGGGAATAAAGGGAAAGACAGACCTGTGCAATGCCTAGACAGCTTCACTGGAGAATGGATCCATCCTCCAGTGCTCCAGAGTGAAAGCATCCATTCATCCAGTGAAAGAATCCCACTCTCCAGTGCTCCAGAGTCCCCAGGGGAGCAGAAGTCCTGGAACCAAATTTTCTGTGCCGTAGGGGAAGCTGAGGAAAGCTCCCAGGCTAATGAGAGGAATGTGCTAAGAAGGGCAGCTGCACTGCTCAGCTTGCATGGAAAAAGGCTTTAAAGGCTGAGCCTGGCCCAGCTGAGAAAAACACAGCACGGAGATCACCAAGCAGCTTCCGAAAGCAAATTGCCCTTCAAAAGAAAGATGGCTCATGTTAACCCCCTTTAGTTAATGTGAGCTGCTGTGCTTAAATGAGCATGAAGATACAATCTAAGAGAAGGACAGCTCTCACATCCACATAAATCTCATGGTGGAGGAGGCATGTAATCAGGGCTGATTGCTATAATGTCTGTGCTTTATTGTAGATGCTGTTCTTTGTATACAGACTTTCTGCTGCATTAATTCATTCAACCCCATTTTCTAACCTGGAAATATTACTTTCAGAGCTGAATAACTAGAGGTTTTACCTTTAAACTGTGACACCGAAGTATATAAAAATCCATTTAAGCAACCTACAGAGCTACTTATAAACTGAGTACAGCTGTAGCAGATGGTACTCATGCCAAGGTGGAGAAGACCTTCATACACTACATGAGACTCATTATACCTGTCTTGGAAGAATAAAAACAGCAGTTGGATATGGCATTAACTATAGATATCTTCAAAGCTTAAGCTGCCAAGCCATTACAGTTAGTGTCTGAAGATTAAAATTTCTCAGGTAGCTCCCATTAGGGCCCAACAATTCATTGGAATGTGCTCAGAGCATGTATTACACCACATGAAGTCATATGTTTTGAAATAAGTAAGCAGAATAATTTTCAGGCTGCTAATGCAAAGACATGTAAGCATGATAATTTCCAAAATAAGGTTCAAGCAATAGGTGTGCAACAGAATCCATGCAGAAAAGTTCAAAAATCGTAAATGTCAATGTCCATGTATGTGACTGTGTCTGTTTACAGACATATTTCTGCATCAGCTGAAGTAGATTTCTGTCCTCACCCTGATCTCATAATTTGAATGACTCAACCCCTAGAGTGCATCCTCAGTCATCTAACTAAATCTACACCTCTCACACGCTGAGGGAGGATCGACCTTTTGAGCCATCTTAGGGATGCTGTTGTCCAAACATGATGGGGACAAATCATAAACTCTGGTATGCTCTGCAATTCCTGGAGTGTTCCAGGCTCCCACACTGTGCCATTTGCATGGTGGCAGCTGGGGCTGCTGTTGCTGCCACTTTAGGTGTGCAGAACAGGCTTACTCAGAATTTAGGGATGTTTGAAATCCAAGACCAGATCCAAATTTTGCAGCTCTACTGAAGTTCTATTTTTACCATCTTAAATTCACTGTGACCAGTTTAAATTCCTGTCTGCCCTGCTGTGTCCCTCAGGAGATCGTGTTTTCCACCTGAATAATCCTTTAACACAGACATCCACTGATTCCATCTCTCACTTTCTAGTGTAAATTTTCATAAAGCAAAAATATACAGTATTTTAATTCTATACTTAAAATACAAACTGCCAGCTTCTGTCACATTGCGGCCCTAAGGGCTTTTAGGATCAGACTGCTACTGCCAGAAATAGGATGCTGCAATTGAATCTGTTTTTATATTCTACACTATATCAGGTTTCCAAGTTGGGCATATTTACATGTACATTTGATGACATCTAATGTATGCATACAGCTAAAATAAAATTTGCATGATGGTAACTGATCACATGCAGGCTTTGATGAGTTCCTTTCCTTCTGCTAAGCTCCACATATCTTATTGAATTTCTGCATCAGTTCACATCCTGGATCAGAGTGATGCACACATCATATATCTGTGGGTAAGTACAAATATACACTTTTCTATGTCATCAACCATAAATCAACTATGTGTGATAGCTGAAATTATGCTGCTATATATTAGTTGTCAGATGAAAAGAATATTTTCCATTGCTTTTTTTATACCATTTCTGATCTCAATTAAATACAGACTAATCAAGTTCATCTGTATTGTGTCAGCGAGTAGAAGTGTTGTTTTAGACTTTAGTGTGTTTGAAGGTATTTGTGTTAGAGACAGCAATACAGATTGGCAGGAAAAATTCACTGACCTAGTACTAAGGCATTATAATGAATCTGCTGTTCACTGACACTAAACAATAAATACAAGAAAATATAGAATTAAAAATTCTTATTTAAAAGTAGAAAAACAAGCTTAACTTGTTCTCATAGGAATCTTAATAGTTTTCCTTTTACTCTAGGTAATCATTGGAGAGGGTTGCCTGTGAAGAGGCACTTTAAGTGAGCTCTGAACCTACTACTTAAAGCAGGGCAAAGGATCTTCCTTAGCTTCTGCAGAAGAATGAATAATTAAGTGGCACATTTCTGCTCAATAAACAAAACTGTAATGAATTTAAAGGAAATTACAGATTTTATCATCTTCTGCAGAGTCTTACAATGAGCATCTGGGTTTTGCTGGCATGCAGATTATTGATGGCCCAAACTTATTAAGATTTCTGGTCGCTTTGTTCGCACAAGTAAATCAGCACAGCAGAAGGAATTAAAAGTAGCACTAAAATAATTTTCTATTGTTTTAATGAAATGCTTTATGAATGCTTATATCTTATGGCCAGATGGAACAATTCTAAGGTCTTATTTTCCAAAGGTATCTCATTATTTTATTGCTCATGAAAACTCCCTTCCTTTCACAACTACTCAGCAAAGAAAGATTTTGCTACGTGCTGTGAACTACTGAGAATGACTTCCAAGGAGCAGAAAAAGATAAAAATATAAACAAATAAATACCTCACAATGGTAATGCCTTGATGGCACTTCTGATATTTTTTCATTGTTCCAGATGTCACATGTGAACCAAAATTTCACCCAAGTAATTTTTCTTTAAAATTAAAAACATTTAAAAAACATTTAAAAACATAAAGCATTTAAAAAACATTTTTTTAAACCTAACACATATGAATACACTGGAAGTTAAAATTAACAAAATATTGGGGGAGGCAGAGGGTAGGGGTTGTGTAAGCAATTCTGTTTAAGAAGAGGCTACTTAATAAATGTTATTTCATTAGCTGCTCAAATATCATATTCTCCTTTGAGTATTTTTTCAAATACAACTCACCATTATATCTGAAAATTTTCATTTTCTTCCCTCAAGGACATGGCTAAACTTGGGCTTTTTATATAATTTCCAGAGGATATACTGCTTCAGCAGGAACCTTTCTGCTCCAATGATGATGACAGGATGAACAATATACCTGAAAGCTGCTGGCTGAAGCATGGATTCCTAAAACATGGAAATTAACCACTCAAATAAAAGGAGGAGGCTGGAAAATAACTCTGCAGGTCAAAAACAGCACTGAAGCCCCATGGTAGTGAAGAGTTTCTCTTACAGAAAAGGTTCCTCACTCAAATAGGTACTGTCTTCCCTTCCACTATTTCAGCTCGTAAATCTAATTTTATTCTATTTTCTTGATCTGTGTCCATCTCTTCTAACTATCCTAACAGTATGCTATCTGAACCTTCTGTCCCTTGTTATTTCTGATTCTATTACTCTGTGGCATTTTGCTATATATTTTCATTCCCTTTAAGTCTCCACCAAAGTGGTATGACTCCAGACACAAGGCCTCTCAAGAACTGGACTATTTGTCTTCTCTAGAGAGAAGGCTGTAGCAACTGAGCAAGTGACCGGGTATTGCAAAACTAGTGATGTGTAGGAGCGAGAAGATCCTTGGCATGGCATTAAAAAGGTCATAGGAACCCACCTCCAGCAGAGGTGCTTTTATACTCAGGAGTCCTTTTTCATTTCTTGCATCAGCAGCCAACCCAAGCCTGGACTGGGACTTGTGGTTTACTCATATCTGGACTCTTGACATGATAGATGAGAGGATAATCTTTCTGCATTTAGTTTACTCTGATCCTGTCTACCAGTCTTTCTCCTGGAAAAAAAATCACTGAATGGAGTATGTACCTTTAAATAAAAGGATTAAAAGAGAAAGAGAATCAAAGACCTTATTTCTTGAAAAAGAGAAAAGAAATTTATTTTTTCTTCTGCAGTGTCTTTGTTACCAATGGCACTTTGTATGAAATTGTGGACTGTCCCTCTTTCCTTATTTAGCTAGTACAGGAGTGCATTGAGCTGTTCTGTGTCACACTGCAGTGTGCTGTACCTGTAGGAAGACACCACAGAACATTATTCAAGGTGGCATTTTTCTCTAGGCTCACTGCCAGTGTCTCAGACAAGCATGCACTAATCACAGAATATTAGTGCTTTCTGCACATGAAATGCAGCCTTGAAACTACTGAGAAATAGTGAGAAAGAAGTGAGAAACACCTCTTTGTTTAGAGATGCTTTAGAGACACTAAGACCATCTGTTTTTTTTTTTTAATTTGGATGGTCAGTTTGACAGCTTTCTACATGTTTGTATGCATACAGTTTTCCAGTTTCCTAAAAAGTAGCTTATTAAAGAACAAGATATCATAGACTGAATCCACATAATTCTTGCTAAAGATGCAATTTTTGAGATAATGCTCTGACACACAGGCCAGAACTGTGGCTCTTTTTTCTCAGTTTTATCAAAAAGGTTATACTTGTTACTATTCTCTGTTCAACATAAAAACACAGTCTGGCTTTTTTCTCTCTATTATTCTCCTTGCAGGGAAATGAGATAAGGTGAAGTCAACAGTTTTAGTTTCTATCACACTCTGAGAGCAAAGTCACATATCTTTAAGGGAAAAGAAAAAGAAAAGAAAAAGAAACATGCAAGCAGGAAAGAAAGTAGCAGGTAAGCAAAGCACCACCATGTTTTTACATGGGATATATTTTATTTCAGTGCAGAATAAACCCAAGGCTGCTCATGAGGCCTGAGCCACCAGCTGAAAGAAGCATATTTCCACTATGTACAATAGGGGAAATATTTATTTATTTTCAAATATAAGTTCCCCATCCAAACTCACAACTTGTTGTATTAAAATGTTAAACATTATAAACTGAGGTCATAAATCTCTTGTCCATCATTGTACTTTACTCTTAGGAAGCCAGGGTTAGAGGTTCTAATCTGGCTTTCCTGGGGTGAATCATCCATAATGTTCTGCAGCTTTCTGGATTGTGCAAATCTAATGGGACACCTAGTCACATTCATATTCTGAGAGCAAACAATTTTATTCCTGCAGTACAGCACAAGGCAGAGACACCATCTTACATCCAGAACAAATCTCTCTGTTCACTGCATTTTCACCAAATATGCCAAAAAGAGAGGCCTGGCAGGAGGGAAACAAGTGTTTTTTAATAGTTCTGAAGAATCAAGGTGCTTGGTGGAACCCTTGTGCCCTAGGTTAGCTGACCCATCTAACTCCTTTAGGCCAGCCCACGTTGCTGCTCCTAGTAAGGAGTTTAGATATGATCATTGCAGCTTGAAGAGACCAGAGAACAGCATGTCTGTGATGGCAAAGGTTAATTCAACAGATTATGTGAGGGATGTGGACAGGCGATGTCATAGTTCTCAAATAATTACTCTTCTGTTCACACATAGGTCACCTTGCCTGTCTAAACTTCGATGATCAAATCAAAATTACTTTCCTTATATTTTTATTTAATTATTACTCATTATAAAGTGGATGCATACACTGAACCTGGCTTGCCAGTCAATTAATTTATCAAAGAGTTTTCCATTTGCTACGTGTATGAGCAGCTGTCTCCTACAGCAATCAAATTTAAGAACTGAAGCAACAACCAAAATATATTTCATAGCCCTAACACACAAAATAATAATCGGTACGACTAGTTCTTAATTAACATTTCTGTAATTGTTGTGCAAACTTATCTAACACAAGAAAAACTGTGGAAAATATAATGGGATCAGAATTTGGTCTAGGAAAAACGTAAGAGTGGAATTCCAAGATGTAAAAAGAAAATAATGTATACTTCTGCAAAGTATCCCACCTGCCCCTGAGCACTGCTATGGTTTCAAGGTCTGAACACTGTGAGTCATTGACCCTTGGCACACACCCGAAAGGCAGGCAGCCAAGCAGCACAGGTGGATATATACTGATAAAACCATACTATACTGATAAAACCATAGCATGGTTTGGGTTGGAAGGGACCTTAAACATCATCTGGTTCCAACCCCCCTGCCATTGGCTAACCTGGCTTCCACTAAACCAGGTTACTCAGAGACCCATCAAGCCTGGGCTTGAACACTTCCAGGGATAGGGCATCCACAGCCTCTCTGGGAAATCTGTTCCAGTGCATCACCATCCTCATAGTCAAGAATTTCTTCCTAATATCTAATCTAAATCTGGCAAATTCTGTCATCATATGAAATCATCTTCCTCTGACAGAATTTCTGTGTCTTAATGATGCCCACAGAGGCTGAGAACTCCGGCACATTTCTATGCAATCCCCTGCTCCCATCTCTTTTGCCAGCCTCCTGTGGACTTCCAACTGCGTATGGGAGGTCCTTGTGGACCCACTCCTGTTGCATTTTGGGAAGATTATAAGTGCCCTGTTTGTGTGCAGTCTGATGCAGTGTGTGGATTTTTTATAGCTATGACAAATACAAGAGGCATATCCATCATCCATGATTTTCTAGGGACAGTGGCTGCTCCCACCTCTAGTTAATATGACTGAGAACTGCAAGAGTGGGTGGGAAAATAAGGGTCCAGTAAGCCCTTCTGCACTAAATGAGAGGATGGCTGCCTGCAAGGTTGATATTAAAGAAGTTATACACACAGTCCTTTACCTGGAAATGAACATAAGTGGCATATTTGCTACATGCTGTTGCCTTCTAGATTTGCAAGCTGTTGTTTCTGAAGTTGTCAGGTAGAACACATTTGATGTATGACTAAACCTCATCCATGCAGTTTTAGATCAGTTCAGTTTCTGTGAATACTTTCTCTTTCCTACTGCACCGATGCTCAGTTCTCTGGGCTACAACAAACTGGGCACTGCCATTTCAGTGCTCACTGACACCAGGGCAACAGAGCCAGCTCTCTCACTTCTGCACAAAAAAGCCTTTCAAGGCTCAGGCATTGTCTCTAGGGCTCTCAAAAGCACACAGCATGGGAAGCCAGAATTAGCCAGATAGCAAGGAAGACACCTGACATCAACTGGAAATGAAAAAGGAAAATCTAATGACCACAGGGTCAGAAGCTCAGTGATTTAATGGTATTCTCCAAGTGCCCATCTTGTTACAGATGGGTAATTGCTGTTAGAACAACATGGCTAACACTTTATTTTTCCTGTAGGAGATAATTACTTTGATTGAAAACACTGGCTGTCAGACAATGTAATACCTACTGCAACAGCTGCAGACCAGCAATGGACAGCTGCATTTGTCTTGTAGCCGTGCTAATCAGGTGCCTGCAACTGCCAGATCTTTGACTGAGGTTGAGATGACAGGTTGCCATAGTGCTTTTGAGGTCTTCTTTCCTCTTTACTGATTGCTTTAGCTCAGCTCCTCCCTCAGTTTTCAAGACTCCAAAACACATTATTGGCAGTGACAGCAAATACAGAGAAGAGAAGAGAAACTGCCAGACAATCAACTTATATAAATTAATGTACTATTTTAGCCAGCTGAGCTTTTTAAATATATGCAAGATAAACAAAATTAGCCTCAAATCTGATCAAATGCTAATTAGCATTTGAAACTACCTGCAATGATTATGTGTAAATCCACAAAGGAAATAGCAGACTAGACTAACCTATCATGCTCAGGTTAGCACTTGTCAACTACCCAGTGTCCATTCTCAGCTAAGATAGACATTTTAAACATGCACTTTTTTCTGGCTGAGTTCACTATATTTTCAAGCATAATAAAAGAACCAATAAATACTTTTTATAAACTGGATGGAAGTGATGAAATAAAAAAAACATTTCTACAAATAATATGTACTGTACTGAAGAATTTTGTAATATAAAAAAATGGATGAACATCAAGGGCAAAAATAACTTCAGCTTAATCATTACAGTGACAAGCTAAATTTGATGTCAAAGGCCTTCATAGAGGCTGTCCTCGAAATGAGCAGCAAGTTTTCTCTAAAGGCCTTGTGGAAGCTTGGGCTTATTCACTGTACATAATTGTTTCCCTAGAATAGAAATCTCCAGGGAGGATTAGCTTTATCAACTGTAACCACAGCTATATAGTCTTATGCCTTCCTTCTACTCATAGGTGGAGTGCTGTTTAAATTTATCTAGTTTGGCCCTATAATATAATGATGAATCATGCTTAGAAATAAGGATATGTGCTGGTATTGACTAGAGTAGAGTTCATTTTCTGCCCAGTAGTTGCTATGGGGCTGTCTTTTGATTTTGTGCTGGTAACAGTGGGATATTTTCATTGTTGCTGAGCAGCACTTGTACTGAGTCAAGGCCCTTTCTGCTTCTCACCCCACCAGCAAGTGGATTGGGAGACCACAAGAAGCTGGGAAGGGACACAGCTGGGACAGCTGACCTCAGCTGAACCAGGGGATATTCCAGACCATATGGCATCATGCTCAGCATGGAACACAGCAGTGGGATGTTAGGAGTGATGATGTTTGTCTTCCCAAGTCACCGTTACATGTGATGAAGCTGTGCTTACCTGGGGATGGCTTAACAACTGCCTACCCATGTGAAGTGCTGAATTCATTAATGTTTTGTTTTGTTTACTTGCATGTGCAGCTTTTGCTTTCCCTATTAAATTGTCTTTCTCTCAACCCACAAGTTTTCTTACTTTTATTCTTGCAGTTCTCTTCTCCATCCCAACAGGGGGTGGGGGTGAGCAATCAGCTGCTTAGGGCTGAGCTGCTGTCTGGGGTTAAACCGTGAGAGCAAGAGAATTCGTAAGGACAGGCAATCTGTACTTTGAGAACTTTATAGAAATGTTTCTCTTATCACAGACTCAGCAATCTGATGATTTTTATTGTTTTAAAATGCAGTATGAAGCAAGACTAGAAGACAGTCAGTCAAATAATAATTTGTAAGGAACTGAAGAGGAACCTTGAAGAGTCACTTAAGATTTGCTGCAGATGACAATAAAGTTATGAATTTATTAAAGTTAAATTGCATTTCTCAGCATCCTAGACATTGCCAAAAGACAGATATGACACTTGAAATGCGGTATAACCTGGTGGCAATTACATTAGTGTAGCACAACCAGAAAAGTACATATTTATTATTTGCCCTGCACTTTACTATTCTGTCTTCTTCCTTACCCAGCTGCATCCAAAACTTTGAAGTCCTTGAAGAGCCGACAGTGAAGAGCAGGTATTTCTTCACTGTGAATCTAACATAGTTGTCATCCACTTCAGAGGACTTAGATGCCTCATTCTCTTCTGAGATTCCTAAAAAACCTGAATGACAGTTTTATGGAACAAGTCTTAAGGGAGGCAACTGAGAAAGATGCCCTGCTTGATCTGCTGCTTGTCAACAGAGTGGATTTTGTGAGTGGAGTGGAGATTGGCAGCTGTCTTGGCCACAGTAACCAAGAAGAAATTGAGTTAAAATCTCTCTTAACAGGAGGAAAAGTGCTGGCAAAACCTCAGCTCTGGATATGAGGAGAGCAGACTTCAGGTTTCTCAGGCAATTAGTAAGTAAGGCCCCTGGGAATACAATTTTGCAGATGCTGCAGCCCATCAATGATAGTGACTTTTTAAACATCATTTCCTAAGGCACAGGAGCAGGCAATTCCCAAAAGTCAGAAGTAAAGCAGGTGAGGCAGAAGGCCAGCTTGGCCGAACAGGAATCTTCTCTTGGAAACAAGGCAAAAAGGAAGGTGCATACCCAGTGAAAAACAGGGCCAGATAATGTGGCAAAGATACAGAGATACCATAGAGAGGAAATTCAGGCAGCCAAACCTGGAGCCAAAGCTGGCCAAAACTGTGGGGGACAATAAAAAGATTTTTCAAATATATCAATGGCATCAGGCACTGCAAAACTAATATCAGCTCATTAGAGGATGGTCTCCTCACAATCAAGGATATGGACAAGGCAGAGGTTTAACATATTCTTTGCCTCTGTCATCAACACCAGATGCACTAAGGGGTGGTCTCAGTGCCCTGAGTTGGAAAACCATGACTGCAGGAATGATAAATTCCCAGTCAACCTGGGGCTCCAGCTGGATCCCTACAAATCCATGGAGCCTGGTGGTCTGAAGCCAACACAGCTTCATGAGATGAAAGTCCTGCTTATTAAACCTGATTTCCTTTTATGACAAGATATCCCACCTAGCTGTCCAAGAGGAGACAGTTGATGTTTTTGGATTTCAACAAAGCTTTTGATACTGTCTCTGTGTTCTTCTACACAAAATGTCCAGTTCACAGCTGGATAAACACATCATGTGATGGGTGTGCAGCTGGCTCAGGGTTCAGGCACAGAGGGTTACAGTGAATGGGGTGACATCAGACTGATGACATGTCACTAGTGGAGCTCTGCAGGGCTCCAACCTCAGCCCTCTGCTTTTCAACATCCTCATCAATTACTTGAATGCAGGACTGGAAGGGACACTAAGCAGGTTTTCAGATGATACAAAACTGGCAGGAGCTGTTGACTCCCTCAAAGGTGCGGAGGCCCTGCAGAGACACCTCAACAAGTCAGAGGGCTGGGTAACCACCAACCATATGGAGTTCAGCAAGGGAAAATGCTGGATTCTGCACCTGGGATGGGGCAACCCTGGATGTACAGACAGACTGGGAAATGAGATGCTGGAAAGCAGTGCCACAGAAAGAAAGAGACCTGGGGTTCCTGGTTGATGGAAAATTGAGTATAAATCAGCAGTGCCCTGGCAGGCAGGAGGGCCCGCCGTGTCCTGGGGGGCATCAGGCCCAGCATCGCCAGCCAGCAAGGGAGGGATTGTCCCTCTGCACTGGGGCGGCCTCACCTCCAGTGCTGGGGCAGTTCTGGGTGCTACAATACAAAAAAGAATTTAAGCGATTAAAGCCCATCTAAAGGAGGGCTAAGAAGATGACATATTAGGAGTGGCTGAGGTCACTTTGTCTGTTGAGCCTGAAGAAGAGACTGAGGGGAGACCTCCCTGCAGTCTAGAACTTCCTTGTGAGGGGAGGAGGAGAGGAAGGCACTCATTTCTTCTCTGTGATGACCAGTGACAGGGCCTGAGGGAATGTGCCATGGGAGGTTTAGGTTGGAAATTAGGAAAAGGTTCTTCACCCCAAGGCTGATTGGGCACTGGAACAGTCTGCTCAGGGAAGTAGCCAGAGCACCAGCCTGACAGGGTTCAAGATGTGTTAGGACAATAATCTGAACACGTGGTATGGCTCTTGGGGATGGCACTGTGCAGATCACAAGTCCAGGAGATGGACTTGATGATCTGGGTGGGTCCCTTCAATCTCAGCATATTCTGTGGCTCTGTAAGATCTAATCCAGTATGAAGCAAAATCCTGTTGCATGACACTGAGAGTAGAGCATGCTCTAACCTAAACTAGCCCTTGGGATAATGTTGCAGAGAAATAAAGATACCCAAGTTTAATTATCCTTCCTCCTCCTTACAAATAATTTGAAAACCAATTCATAGAGCATATTACTGCCGTATGGCCCTTGGGATACTTTCCTTGTTCCTCATTTCTTCATCATAATATTCTTTTATAATTACAGCAGGAAGCTGCCTCTATAGCTCAACATCCGCTCTCCACAAGAAATGTAAAATTAGGACTGTCCAGGGAGGAGAACAAGAAGGATTCAGACAGATATTTAAATATGTTTACTTAATAAAGGTGCATTTTGGTGCACCCAGATGTATCCCAGTATAGGGTAAGGTTTGCACAGCAAAGGGGAAGGGTAGGATTTCATCCCTCTGTTTTCAGATAAGTCTTCAGAAGACTGTGTGGTATATTGCCATTGGGACAGGCCTCTAAGAGGTCAGGTGTAGTTGGGAAAGCAAGAGAGGGACACAGATAACACAATTTCACCAAGGACGTGGCTCACCTGGACATAGTCATTAGGGTTCCCTGTTGAAATGGATCAAGAGAGAAAAGACAAAACTAAAGGAAGAAGAACCAAAAGCCTGTAATATTTCCATGAAGAAACACTGAAATACAGTGAGTGTGTCTAAGGAATGAGTTTCAAATCCTGGGCTGGTAATGAGGCCAAACCACCTGCATTTTTTACTATCAAAGCAGGTGTTTTTCTCTGAGTTAGGGGACAAAGCTGAGGTGCTCTAACATGGGTGCCTGATTTGATGTCCACACTGCTATTGGTTGACCGGGTGTCAGCAGTGACAGTGAGCTGTGAGGATTTATGAGGGAATTTTGAATGAGTCAGAGATGGGACCTCTGAGCTGTTTTTCTTATCTACTACACAGGCAGGAAGGGTGAGTTTGGCTCACATCTTCACCTCATGACTCAGAAGGTCCTAAGTTACAAGACCTAGTTAGAAGCCCTTCTAAGGATTTATTAACCAATAAAACATTGCCAACAAGGACATTTATGCTTTTGACTCAATCCTTGAATATTTCATCTTATGGACTCACGCTGCAGTGTAAGCTTTCTTAGCCAATTATGTTATGACACACAAACCTACAGTCCTGTGCTCTAAAACACTAAACTTTCCTCGTCTTAGCTTAATGTGTCCCTGCTTTAAACTATAAATTTGCATTCTTGCTTCTAGCACCAAAGTTGGAAGCCTTTCCCAAGGTCTCAGATCAAATCCTGTGTTTAATTCTAAGCTTCAGCTTAGAGGCCCAAAGTTCTGAGAATTCCCTACATTTTGGATTCCAACTCTGAACCATCACTGCTCACCTTGAGATGAACTGCTAACCAGCTGTGCACTCCCCACCAGAGACACAATTCGGGTGAATGAAGCTATTTCAGATGCTCAAGGGAAATACTTCTGTTCTCAAACTACTGTCCCAAGAACACAGAGCTGCTGTGTTATATCTGACAAGATTCTTCTGGTGCCTTGGATGCAGACATTCAGGACTTACCTAGGTCCTAGTTTTTCACTTGTGAGCTGTAGGAATGGTATTAACAAGACCTATTAATCTGAGTCTTCTTTTTCATGATAGATACTCCAGAAATGAATACTCCAGACTTCAAGACCCATTTGCTTTCTCAGGTTCAAGCACAGGTTTCCTAGACCATGCTTGAGACAAGTGAGGTGTATAAGATATCACAGACTCAGAAGCTAAACATGTCTTCAAAATTAAAATTTTGGGGGCTGATTCTTTGGGCACTGTGTCAGCTGTGGGAGCTGAACAGATGGGGAAAACAGATGGTCTGGGCTTCCCTGCACGGGATTATTTTGCACAATGGTTTTCCCAGATTCCAGAAACAAAGCAATTCAGAGGTTGTCCTCTTACCTGTGCAAGTGCTGAGGCAGACACACACATGTTGTACAAGCCTAGTCAGAACTAGAAATTTGCCTAGCACACAAGATGGGAAGTACAATTTTTTCCATTAGTTTTTCTAAAAGAAATAATTTCATGAAAATGCTTTGCCTTTTCTAGATCTCACTCTTCCTGTTAAAAGGTTCCATTTCTCTGTAAAAGGTCAAATGAGACCCAGTATAATACCCTCATCAGAGATCAGGAGAGAAAAGAAAATCAAATTTCCACTAGCAAACAATAGGATGAATGGCACAGCTATCTAAGTTGTGGCTCAAAATATGTGGGTCAAAGTTACCTATGAGAAACATCTGTTTTAATAATAGTACATGTTGCAGGCAATAATG